AAAAAAACATAAATTTATATGCGTTTTAATTTAACTTAAAAAGCCTCGGGTGTAGAGTGTGTAGATCTTGTAGAAATGATTTTGTTAAAATCTCCATACGTAAACTCATAAGTGTGAGTGTGACATTTGACAGATAGATACAAAACGTAATGTTATTGTTCTCTTACATACTTGTCATACACTCGTGCGAATTATTCTGTTCTGTTAAGTTCGTTTATTCCGTTCATTTATTTTATTTATATTCTTAATCTCGCAATCACATCGCAAAATTGCGTAAAAATGGCAGATTCTATTAACAGTTTTATTGATCTTGACACCGGCTGTATAAAATATCCTGATGGAGACTTTACTTTTATATTAAACTTTATTCTGTTTAGTTCGCCAAAAGATAGAGTGAGGGCGTTAGTGTGACAGATTTCATATAAAAAAGCTACTGTATTAGAGATCTTTGTCTAAGTCGATTTTTGAGTATTTTGGAAAATATCTTGATAGAAAATTTGCCTTGCTCGAAATTCACGATAGAGGTATGGTTCCTTGGGCAAAAATGCTTCTTATGGTCCGTAGAACCATAATCTCAAAAAGCCTTTGTAGGTTATTTCGCTCCCCTACAAATTGACCCACCCTAATATATATATATATTCAACATACCGAATTGATGATGTAATCGTCCTAAATTATATTGTATTTCATTATACGCCGCTGGTTCACGAATTTTTGCATATTCGTTAAGAAACGAAATTGACTGTGAAATAAGCATATGTTTTTTGGTTGTATATTTCTGCTGCGCAATGCTCATATAAGTAATGCCAATAAGCAATGCTACCAACGGTGATGTATTTGTTTTGAAAGTACGCATGTAGTCATTCAATGCATATTTGTATGTCCCTGATACAATCCAATAGTTTGCACGTAGAATTTTTGGCCATTCTTCAATTGCGCTTTCAGATCGTTCAATCAATCTATTTAAGAATCGACTATAGCGACAGTTGCTATCAGTGAACTGGATAATAACGTTAAATAAGTTCCACATCCGATGGTTTCTCAAATGTTTTACAATTAAATCTTTGATTAGAACAAAACCAAAATTTGAGTCACGATTGAAAATAGTTGATAGTAGAGCATAAAAGTACATTTCAGGTGTATAGTGTAGCCCAAATCGTTTGGATGAGAGGGCAGTGAATGTGAATCGCTGCATAAGTGTAACTTTGTTCGTATTTAACAGAATTTCGAGTACTGATTTTAGCAAATTAAACTCTTCTTCAATTGATGGCTGATTTTCAGATACATGTACGAATTCTGGGCCTTCTTCATCTTCAATTGGCTCTTTTCTAGCTTTTCGATTTTCCCGAATCAATTGTAATTTATTACTCCATTTACTTGTGTGTGTTACCACAAACATTTCATAAGAATTTCTAATTCGAATACAGTGCCTTGATATCAGTAACATTGCGACATTTATATACTGTTCGAAATCACAAATTTCTTTAAGCATGAAACAACGTTCATATAACACACATGGATCAATTAATTCACTTTCCAAGTTTTGTTCGAGAGCTCTAAGGGCCTCACCATCACGCCCTTGTTGCTTTAACAAAGCTGCTAGCGTAAGTCGTGCATCAAAATGTTGAGGTGCCATAGCTACTACTTGGGAGTAGGAAGCAATTGCTTTGTCACAATCACCAATGGCTCGATAACAATCAGCATGTCTTAACCAAACAGCTGCCAAACTGTAATTTTGACTTTTAAGTAACGGTTCCAACAATCGAATTGCTTCGCTGTATCGATCCATTTTCATCAAAGCTTCAGCAACGTCTAGATAGCAATCACCAGCATCAGTAACATTAATATGCGTAAAAATATTTTCAATTAAACATTCCATTAAATGAAATGCTTTCAAATGTATCAAGCTTACAATAAGCTTACTACGGAAATCCAAAATCATTAATTTTGGGATTTTCACATTATGTACCATCGTGTCACCGTGATTTTTATAGTATGTTATTTGCAAGTCAGTGTGTAAACATAAAATGTCTATAACTTGTTTGAATTCATTGTTAGTGATCAATAGTTCTAAAAGCTGGTTCAAGTCTTCATTTTGGAATAATTCTGGTACTTTCCGATATGCGTACGACATAACTTCTAACGCCTTGGCATATTGCTTTGATTTTATTAATCGTTCAGTGACCATTTTTGCTGTTTGCAATAGAAACACTCCTTGTTCACTAGGTATAATAAAAACCAAGGAGTACCAGCATCGAAATGCCATTTTTTCGTCCTCAATAGATTCCAATAATTCAATTCGTTTTAGTCGTAATTCAATATCTTTTGGATTGAATTTGATTGCTTTGGTGTAACAATTGATTGCACGCTTGATATCATTTTGTTCTATGCAAAATTGTGCTATACGAATCCATTGTTCGGAGTCAGCAGGATTGAGATGTGCAGCAATCAATGAAAATTGAAGGTATTTTTCAGGATTTGAATCATGAATCTGCGCCAAAGTTAAAAATGGTTCTGGTGCTAATGGAACTTGTCGGATGATTTCCAAGCAAACTTTTTCAGCTAGATCATTTTGTCCACGTGCGAAACTGGTTAAAATCATAAAGCAAAGAAAATATGATGGAAAATATATGAAATGTAAATGGTTCTTAATGATTATGAAATGACAGTATTTGTATCAAAGTAAAGGATTTTTGAAATAAAAATCACAATTTCGCAAAAAAAAATTAAACACCGAAAATAATATTAAGGAATGGAATTATTGAATAATCATGTATACCGTAAATTTGCTTCACCCATGAGACCTTGCAATGCCGCTGGTAATACACATCGTCTGCGTTGTCGGCCATCTCTCATTCTCACTCGGCCTTTAAGGATTCCACGCATAGCATCCTTCCGCGTTTTGTGAAGTTCTGCTTCGAAGTATTTTGAGGCCCTGCTTTTTGATTTGTCTTTTCGCATCATTATTTCTTCTTCGATAACGTCTTCATCAATCATATTATCATCATCTGATATGTTTGATTCATCCATTTCTTTGTTATATTCGGAAAATGAAAGTTCACCATTCATCAACCTTTTAATAAGATTTCCTTCATCCGCCCGATCACCATAATTATTCGAAGATCCAGCATTACTTAATTTCTCATTAATAACAGAACTCTCATTATTGTGCTTGTCTTCATTCAGATAAGCAACCTCTTCTATATCGTATGTGACTTCTTCGTCGTCGACGTCCATTTTGAATGAGTTAGAGAACTAGCTAAATTTCATAAACACACTCTATTTTTAATAGAATTATGGCAAATTTTTAACTGCAATTTATGAATACACCTCTTTGTATAAAAAATAAAAATTGTAGTAACTTCGTATCAAAACCGAATGTGCATCTAAACAATATGTCAAATATGAAATGACTAAATGAAATGTATGTATAAAAGCCGCAAGATGGCGATATGTCTAAAATGATACTGATGAAAATAAATGTCAAACTGAATATACGCATATTTCATATCATTAGGTTTTATTTTGAATAATTGCTTTAAATATATCTTTGGTGAATTTTTCAATTCGGCTTTTGCTTTTATATAAATTTCTATTGAATTTAGTCTAATGATAATATAATGTTGAAACCAAAAGCTCTCACACAAGTTCTCAATCAAGCTAATACTGGTGGTGTTGAACATACACTTTTATTGAATCACGAGGGTGCTCTTCTCGCATATTCTGGATATGGTGATAAAGATGCTCGTGTCACATCAGCAATAGCAAGTAATATTTGGACTGCCTATCAAAAACATGGGAAAAATGCATTCCGAGACAGTAGATTAAAAATTGTTTTGTTACAATGTGAATCTGGAAATGTTGTCATTACACAAGTGGTTAACTTACTACTTTGCCTATATGCAAAAAACACACTTGAAATGAGCTTTGGGGTAATCACTTTGAAAAATTACTTTTTCATTATTAAAGATAATTTTTTTATTATTTTCATTATTACCTTATAAATACTCTAGAATAGAAACAGCATATTAAATAGTTGCATGTCAAAGTGAAATAAGTCGTTTTTTTTACATAGATTATAAGATAAAAAAAACGTCTTTTCTCGCAACTATTTAATGAGCTGTTTTTATTCTAGAGTATTTATATGTTGATCTATTTAAATTTCTATTTTACTTTATCCCTTATATAGATGGGGTTACTCAAAGCTAAAGCTACTGCGTTGGCCAACTATTTGGAAGGGCCAATAAAAGAGATTGCCTCGTCATCATCTTAAAACTCATGATTCCACGACGGATTTTTTTTTCTTTTATTGGTGGCCGCTATGGTTATATTCGTTCAAAAATACTATGTATTTTCCAAAAAAAAAAATTGATTTAATAAATTTAATGTATGACATTCTAGAAAACATCAGTAAAGGAGAGAATTATTATTAAGTCGTTTTATAAAATTAGTTTATTATTAAAAAGTAAATGAATTAAATATTTTTGGCGGATTAAATATTTCTCCGATTTTCTAGGGTTTTTCGCCGAGAAAATTCTTTCGATTTGCTAGGGATTTTCGCCAAAAAAGTGAAGACCAAAAAAACGCGGTGAATAAAAAAATTTACACTATAAAAATTGGTCTAGCATCTTAAGTTCGACAAAAATATCGCGCAACAAAAAAAAATGCAAATCGCACAAATATTGAATTAATTCATGATTATTGGCAACGCGTATTTATATACACTAGAGTGTTTCCCATATCTGTAATTAAAAAAATGGTATGTTTCAATTTAAAGAGCATAAAATTCTGTTTCAAATCGTAGCATTAATGTAAAGCATCGATTGATATCGACACTTCACGCAGCAAAAAACTCTTTTCAAAATCAAATGATACTTACAATGAAAAAACGCTCCGTTTGTACTCCTGCGCAGTCAACATCAACCAAATGGGGTGTCGACCTTCTGCTACGCTACTATCCCACATGATCGGGATAGCCTTAATAACTAATGTTACATTTGTTTTTTTTTTTGTTTGCGTTGTGCTGATTAGGCTGCTGGTCATACTCGAACATTTCTACATCAATATCCACGTTGGCGGCAGCGGCAGCAGCAGCAGCAGCAGCAGCAGCAGCGGCTACTTCGGCGGCCTCAGCGACAGCTTCGCGGGCTTTGTACAAATATCTATTGATCGCCTCCGGTATCGGAAGTCCCAGCAATGTCCATGGTCCTGAAAAATCAAACAAATTAATCTTTTTAAATATTCATTCAATCGCAATTGTGCGTCAATTAGCCTTACCTAACCGGGGATTGCGTTGGGATAATTATATGAAAACGTCAGTGGAATCTTAATCGCGAACGCCATCTTTGGTTACATGTATATAGCTGTTTCTTTGCTGAAAGTTTCACTTCAATTTACTACAATATTTATTTAGAAATATACAAATATTTTAAATATTTGTGATGAAATGCACAGAAATATACATTTTGGATGTATATGCAAATATTCATTTTAATTCTTCTTAAAAAAGAGCATGTTACACAAAACAGGTACGACAAATTTCAAATTTGTAAAATGTAAACAAGAAAATGACAGCTATTATTCGGTCCAACATTGAACTGATAGAACCGCTTGGTAATGTCATATTTACTTTATAAAGATGGGAAACAAGAGATGGCGTTGTCATAGAATTCGGACTAAAAATGTCAGTCGTAATACCGGGTTTGCCTTACCTTTCAGCAGAATTTTCTTAGCAGCCACGACATCACGATGCCAAGTCACAGAGCATTCGAGGTTTAATTGCCAGTTTTTATAGTAACTTTTTACTTTTGACAATAAAGGCTCGACTCCGATGCTTCGTTCATGGCGCGTTGCAACTGTCGGAATACCGATAGATCCGTCTTGCACAACTTTGACACAATTTTTCTAGGGGAGTCTCTCACTTTTGTCAAGCATGAATAATTCAAGATAAAATCGATAGCGTCGAATAAATAAGATTTCAAACGATATTTTCAATAAAAGCCGATAAAAGCAGTTTAGAGGCAATATTCGTCGATATTTCAATGCCAACTTAACCTGCTATACCGACTTGTCATGTTGATGAAGTACTAGATTATGTTATTAAAATTTTCTGTCTATTTTTCTCAACAACTAAAAAAATACGATATATTTTATCAAAATATTTTATATTTTTTACATTTTGTGGGATTGGTGTTCAAAATATTCGCGAATAGTTGAATCAAAATGCTAGTCAAAAAATAATATGAATAATATAACCATATTATTATTATAATAATATAACCATATATGCTCAGGTATACTTTACTGACGGATCAGTAAAACCGAAAAGCAGTGGCTTTGGCGTCTTGAATGCCCGAAATCATTCCATAATTAAAGGACAGTGCGGGAAATACGCACAAACTAAACAAACCGAACTAGCGGCCATACTCGCTTGTAGCATTGATGCCATGTCTAGAATAAATGAGAACCATATTTATATTTACAGTGATAGTATTGGTGCTCTCAATGCCCTAAAATGCTGTTAAAATAACCAGTAAACTGGTTCTAGACTGTGTGCTGCAACTACTTCAATTAATTAAGAATTAAATCAAACTGGTGCAAATCGAAGTTTACTCCTGAAACGCATCTAATGCATTAGATGCGTTTCAGGAGTAAAATTCAATAAATATTCCAAATATGTCCAAATTGTTTAAATAATGAAAACTAATAGCTGTTACATCGAAATTAAACATTAAAGGAGATATTATAGCACTGTTTATTTTAATTCTCCAAAAAATGGATTTGATTCCAAGCATTTTGAAATTTGATTTTCAATTTTAACCAGTGATGGTTTTTTCCTATCTGAATAGCGTTAGCTATTCGTAACGTCTGAACAGCATTGCTGCCCAGATGCTGAATCGAAGCGGTTGCCGCACGCGTTTTGTACCACACAACATATTGTCATATAGTCTAAGTAACCAGTGAGCTCACAGAGTATGATACACTAATACCATAGTCAGTATACAAACGCATGTCGAACAGAGAATGAACGCGAACGTATATGCTCTGTGTGGTAGAAACGAAGTGTGTTGCGCGTGCGGCAACCGCTACGATTCAGCATCTGGGCAGCAATGCTGTACAGGTGCTGCGAATAGCTAGCGCTATTCAGATAGGAAAAAACCATCACTGATTTTAACACAAGCATTTTGTAATAAGCCAACAGCTTGTAAGATTTCATAGCTAATTGGCTTTTCACAATTTTTAATTTGTATTTTGGCCTCACGCATTTTAAATAATCGTTTTTTCAATTTTGGTTTCTCATAAAAAAAATTTAAACAGTCCGGTATCACACTTTTTCTATGTTGTTTCTGCCAATGCACGTAATAGTTCTCTTTGTTTGTAAATTTTGACTCACAATTTTTTGCACAACATTTATATTTTTTGACTTTATCCGCGTGAAGTCGTTCATGGCGATCTAGATTATTTTTATTTTTCTTAATAAATATGCCACAGAAGCAACATAAAAATAATTTTTCTGTGCGTTCGTCGGTTTGTTTACGCATTTTGTATCGAAATGACATTGAAATATCAGCTGTCACATGGATCTCAGATGGCGCTGGCAACGTTTTGCAGAAAAGTCATATTTTTGACAATTGCTATCGGGGGATGGGCATGGCCTTAAACCAATGTTGTGCGTCAGTCGTGGGGTCATGCAGATCGATTTCTGGAAACACACTCAGGTCGTTCACCATGTCATACAACACGACACACCGTTAGAGTTTGTCTGGACCGTGAATTGGCACTTTGATGTCCTTTTGTTTGGTTATCAATTTCACAACACTTTCGATGTCACTTGGCAAAAATTTCTCTGCATCCTCTTCTCCGTCTGTGTTCAATTCGAACAATTTTAGTTTCAAGTACTAGGTGATGTGTTTGTTAGGATGCGTTGTTGAATTGGTGACGACGTTGTCTGTGTATTGATTGGCCAAATGCTTGAGGCCATTGCTGAAATCTTTGTTGTTGGGCCAATCGATACGATGGTAGTCGTCAAGACCTAAAAATGAAATATGTTTGTCAAATTCAACTGAATTGTGTAGTCAAAACTCGCTATTTTATAAGGGGATGAAATAGTTCAAAATATCTAAATAAATCAACTATTTTTATTATTATTATTATTATATTACCCTCGACGATTGCTTTGAATTCAGGGTCGATACGTGGCAGCTCTGCTCGTGGTCCTCGTGGCTTTGTTCCTCGATTTTTTCGGTTTCGGTGGCTGACTGTTATGCCATAGCACTTGGTTAAAGGAGAGTTGGATCTTTTTTTCTCCACTTTCACCAAAGAATGCGAAATCATTATTCTCAATGCCTATGTTCGTACGCTTTTTGCACCTCGAACAAGAACAGCAATGAGCCCAAAACGCAAATTGAAGTGGCTTGCAAGCTCAGGTCCGTTATTTTGCTCATCAATGCTTGCTGGAATTGTGGGCGAATGATTGTCTTCAGCGCACATTTGATCGTCGTAATCTCATCCTTCGTTTATCTCTTCGCTGGTATGGATGGCTTGAAACGATTCGCCATTTTCCTATTGAAAAAAAAAACACACACACAATCGATTTAGCTTAAAAACGAATACTATTGAATTGGCGATATTTAGACATTTTCATTGTTCCATATCAATATTTTTTACTAAATGATTTTTCATATTAATTATACCTGTGTTGGTAATACTTGGTATATAACGACATAATTCCGATCGAAATTACTGTTTATTGGAATAATTGTTTTGTGTGTGGAACAATGATCGAACTCATACAGTAGTATAATACATATCATACACAGTAAAAGAATCGAACACATTGTTTCACACATAAAACCATAGTTCCGATAAACCATAATTCCGATCAAAATTATGTCGCTAGAATACTGGCTGAGACACAAAAATATCGAGATTTTTTGATAGAAACTTACGAATGAATAAATCTGAAACAGAACAAGAATCTATCTCCTTTTTTGGTACACACACAAAATGATGCAACACACAAAAATGACAAAAATCTTCGGATTTGCGATGATATTTTATTTTATTTTATTTCATTGTTTAAACAGTTTTCTATCGAGTGTTATACGTGCGCGCGTTCTGTGTGAGTACTGTCGAGTGTGAATATATAAACATCAAAACTAAGTCATCTGCACTATTCTACTACTATTTGAACTATAAGGAATTATCTGGAATTATTTTTGTACTAGATGGAATTATATGAACTACGTTGTTGTAGTAGTAGTCCCCTTGTCAATAATACTAATTCAATATTTAGACATTAGACAATTTTTGCTTTAAAGAGTTTTTTGCTTCGGGAAGTGTCAATATCAATCGATGCTTTGCATTAATGCTAAGATCTTAAACAGAATTTTATTCTCTTTACATTGAAACATACCATTTTTAATTACAGATATGGGAAACACTCTAATATACTTTATTTAAAAATGAGGGCATATGGATGAAATCATCATTTGGAAGCAGATCGCATCAACGACACAAGACATCAAAAATGCAATCAAACGTCTGATGAAAGACCCTTACCGTGTTACCGGAATTCGTTGAAGAAAATTATTATTGATATTGGAATCGCATATTTTACATGAACAAAAATCAAGCGTCTGACAAACAAAAAGTCATTTTATTTCCAATTTGAGACCGACTGTGTTTCTGCATCATTTTTATTTACAACACCAAAAATAGAACAATCGGCTATCGTGTCTGTGCTACAGCGAATTTGAGATCCATGGAAAACAAATTTAATTAGGCACAGAAGTGAGTATTGAACAATGTCCAATTAACAACAATGATTTATATTGTGCTGAAATTTTATTTGTGCATTTCTGGTGCATTTCATTTCAGGAAAATATTACGATATCAGGGAAATACTACGACTCAAGCTTGATAAACAAATTGAATCGATGAAAATTAGTGACAGCACAATGGCCAAATTAACCGAGTAATGCGCTATATGTTTTATATGAAAACGTCACACGAATCTCCCCCGAAAACGACATCTTTGGTCTTGCAGCAGAAGCTGTTTCTATGCTGAAAATTTCATTTCAGTTTAAAAAAATTAAAATATTATTTATGTAGAATTGTACAAATATTTTAAAACTTTGAAATGAGATTTACAGAAATATGCATTTGAAAATTGTTTTAAAAAATAAACACGGCACAATCAATTTCAAAAATTACAATGAATAATATTGTTGACATATTTTCACGATGACAGCTATTTTTGCGGTACAAAATTGACCCGTTTGAATGATTTGTCAATATTGAACATATACTCCAAACACATGGGGAAACAGAGATGGCGTTGTCGTAGCATGTAGAAAAATATATGTTTAACGCAATATTCGGCTTGGCCAAATTAACAAATAAGAAAGAATGAGTCATTCACATTGGCAAAAATGGCACTAAATTCACCGATTGGCGTGAAAAAACGTTTGCGATGCCCAGGAACCAAACGATTGGTAAATAGTTTCAAGAAGCTCGGCAATATTGTTCATTTCGTTGACAAGTATATGACATCAATGTTTCAAGCGTTTTGATCCACGTACAAAGAATCATCGGTTCAAAGTGTGCGGCTAGTACTATGTGAATAGCCAATCAATAATAGCAAGAATGATCATATCGATATTGGGAAATAGCTTATTTCAACGTGCACGCAAGATAGAAGACAGAATCAATTAAGTCATCAATTTCCAGCGTCCAGATGCAGAACGGGAGACAGTTCAAAATAAAATCGTACATCCATTACAAACAGCAAGACGTTTAGTGCCAAAAATCATCGAGTTTTTCAAATGGTATCTAAATTCCGCTAATGAATGGATGCCGACTGCAAGAGCAAGTCAACTCATATATCAAACAGTTTGAATTATTACGATTCAGCGCAAAATACCAGAGCCACACCGCCTTTTGATACAACAATTAGAAAGGGCGATTACACAAAGTTTGAACCGATTAATTATATGCTAACAACATTCAATGATTATTAACAAAAAAAAATACCGAGCAGGGATACTAATTTAATTGATTTGGAAGTAAATTTATCAACAGTTAAACTGATAATTGAAAAATATTCAAAACAAAATAGATGAATTGAAAACATAAATGAAATTATCTATTATAATTATAATTATTATTTATCTCTTTCAAAACTGCTTGATGTAAGAAATTTACTTTATTGTATTTATTTAAACGCTGTTCGGTGCAGTTATTATTACTATAAAAGAAAATAATTTTTATTATCAACCGGCTAAGCCTATGAAGAGACAAAATGCGAATTCCCCTCATCTGTGCCATCTGTATTCCATAGTTGAACTCAATTTAGTTACAATGAATTGAATCGAAAAAGAGAAAAAAAACAACAACAGTAACATGGCTACATAGATCTCATGACCAGTGAGATACGTATAACAATGGAATGAAAGAATGAAGAAAGCGTATATGTGTATGTATGCATCAGCACGCATAGATGTACAGCTCTGTGTGGGCGTGCTATTGTTGTTGTTTTTTCTCTTTTTCATTTCAATGCTACAGAATTAAATTCAGTTTTTCGATCTAATTCGAACTAATGTGAGGTGGCGCTGATCAGCTGCGTTCGCATAAAAAAGTTCCCAATCTCATATACGCCAACCCCGCTTGTTTATTATTTAATAATTATTTTTTATTTTTTTCTAATGTAAGAATCTAATTATATGAAATATGTATATTACGCTAAAGACATGAAAATCGATACCGTTGAATTTTTGTTAAGTCCGTAAGTTCTTTTAAATTGTGTGAAATTATTTTTTTTCCGAAGGTAGACTGAAAATCGGGCAAACTAATTTTTCAGTTTCAAAAAATTCGTTGCGTAAGTGGTTTTGGTGTGGGGTCGAACATTTTTGGGAGGCCGTTTTTGATTTTTTCCACAGTATAATCTCTGGTTTTTCATCAATCGGACATTTTTCTGGACATCTGTAAGGTACAACAATGGTCGTTGGAAAGGTAAGAGACTCTCCTCTGAATCTGAAGTCAGAATGGGAAAAAATTCAAAAATGTCCACCAGATGGCGTGTTATGTGACATTTTTGGCGAAAAATGACCATGACTTTTCTCACATGATTCAAATTTTAGAAAAATTGCGTACATAGAAAAAATAAAAAAAAACTGGGCGTTTTTGGGGACCAAATATGTGATGTTTTGGCGTATGTGTCATATCTGGGAAAATTCGAATTTAAAAAAAAATTCATTTCGAAGTTCAAATTTTTTTCGGCAATTTTTCAATTTTTGGTTATTTTTTATCACAGGTATACGGATTGTTTTTTAACAGAATCACGCCATTCTTAGCTTATTGGAAAGACATTAAGGTCATCTTGATGAAGCAATAAAGAATTTTTGAAAATAAAAATCAGCGTTAGATCAGAATGACTAGACCTCGAAAAATGGGGAAAAATCGATGAAAGTCGAAGTTAATCGTCATTTATGTCGAAAAAATGTATGACTAGCTTGGATTTTTTCATCATAGATCGAAAGCGCACTCAATTTTGACCCGACATGCACATTTTTAAAAACAAACCTTGTTTTATTTGGTGAAAATGGGAAAAGTGTGAACTTAAGCGGCCACCTATATTTTAATATCCTTTACTGTAATCTGCTATGTTTTTACATTGTTTGTTCACTTTGACGACTGATTTTACATAATTTGGACCAGAAGAATTCAGTGGTGGCAACCGTTTTGAGTAATTAGCTCAATTTTTTTTAGATTTTTCGGCTTTTTTCGGAGGTTTCTTTTGAAATGATATTTTGGAAAAAAATTGTTTTTATTCGTATGCTAGGAAAATTGGTACTGAAGGTTTTTTGGCACGAGAAAACCGAATATGACATTTATTTTACGATAAAATCAGGTCTCAACACACTGAGCGTTAGAATTTCGTCATAAATTAATAAAAAAACTATTGATATAAGTACAAAACACTTCTTTCGAAGTTCCCACTGTGACGCAATACTGTAAATCTGGAAATGTTCTGATATAAATTTTCAGTGACGCGTTCGTTCATATACATAGAAAATGTTAATATTGCGTCGCCTGATATAAAAATGCACAAAAAATATAAGAAAATAAGTGCATAAAACATTAAAAAAAAACACTAAAGAATCGTTTATTGACCGAATATTGTGCTGTTAAGCGTGTTCAGTTTTTCGTATATTTTCTGTTCTAAGTTTTAGTCATGTCTATCACTTTGGGATAGCATTTTTGAGGCGACGCAGTATCAACATTTTGTATGTATATGAACAAACGCGTCACTGAAAATTCATATCAGAACATTTCCAGATTTACAGTATTGCGTCACAGTGGGAACTTCGAAAGAAGGGTTTTTTACTTATTATTATTTATCTCTTTCAAATGTAAAAATCTAATTATATTACAACAACAACAACAATCATTTATAGACCGATTGTACCTTTCGGCGTGTGGTCTTTTACGAAATGACTAGACTCGAATTCCTCTTACAATTCCTCTCCAAACTTCCCTATCGAAAGCTAGGTCTTGAGTTTCTCTACACCAATCATACCCTCTAACATCCAAATCACATTTAACCGAATCCAAATAACGTCTACGGGGTCTTCCTCTGTTTCTCGGTCCATCTGCTTGGGCATAAAAAATCTTCTTTGGCAAACGCAACTCACCCACGAACACTGTGCGTAAGAATAGAAACATGCAAGCAGCGCCGCACTCGAATGCATTTGATTTGAATTATAAATTCAAGCGGTGAGAGTTCGAACTAACCAAATTACACTAACAAAATCCACATACACGCTCAGTGTTCGCTCACCCATACGTTGGACATGTCCAAACCATCTCAGTCTCGACATTCTTGCAACTTCATCCACCGACACAACATTCAAATCATCTCGAATTCTCTCATTTCTTATACGATTTTCCCATTGGTCTCTGCGCGATACTTCAGAAATCATTCGTAAAACTTTCATATCAGCCACTTCCAATCCATGGATTAAATTTTGAGAATCGACCCAGCTCTCGCTTCCGTAAAGGATAGTAGGTCTGAAGATTGACTGATGAATCAACAATTTTGTCTCCCTACTCA